ACACAACTAACCTTAGCAGCATAACCGAAAAATAAGGGACCATGAAGGAACCAAGCAGGAGCAAGAGCTGAACTCCAAGGCCAGTAGACTGATAAATTTTGGTTTTAAATTCAAATAAACATTCCCAAAAGAGTTACATATCTAACGCTGGGGTCAGCTTGGTGAAAAGATCTGTAAACTCTAGCAACACCAGAACAGAGCTGGCGACCTGGCATTTCCCTTCACCTGAAACCACTACACTGGCTTAGGCACATATTGATAAATTGAAACCTGAACTGGTTTATATATTCAACATAACTTTTTAGTATAATTACCTTCAAATAAGTTTATTTCATAAATGTATCATTTATTTTAAAGACCAAATAATCAGAATCCAAAATAGTCATTTGAAGATAATAGTAGATCTTATCTATTTGTGTGCTGAAAAAATGACTGGGTCCCTCTGCTAAATGCTGGAAATACTTGGAGAGACAAAAGATTTTTGAAACAAAATCTTCCAAATAAATTGCAGAGTTGTTAGCTGTGTTATATAACGAGTGCAATAACAGTATGAAAGGCTGGCGGAGCTATCCCCGTTTCCTCCATTCCCGGCAGGGCTCCCTGCCCTCCAGCTGCACCGCGGGGCTGCCGGCGCCGCCGCTTCCACCGCGCGGGTGCAGAGGGGAGACCCCGGCAGCGCCAAGGAACGGCTCCCTGCCCAAACACGTTTTCACGTCTCGTCCAACTTGAGATTCATCCTTGCAGTAGTTTCCTCATGGCTTTATATAACCTATATTACTCTCCATTTTCTCCACACAACCTGGAACATGAGAAATAGCACAAGAGGAACTCTCATGCTTGCAGTTATTTCAAATAAGAGGTTTTCAATTCTGTCCCCCTAAAAGCAGATTATAAGCAGAAGAGTTTCATGACCTGAACTTTGCGAAATCGAGCAGTAAAATAAAACTATTGCTTTCAACAGCCTTCCTGGTAGTAACACAAGTTACTTTCCATACTACATTCTCCTTATAAGACCGCCTAAACCGAAACAAGATCTGTTCTGCTTACAGTTCTAGATCACGTTAGAATTAGCTAAAGAGCTAATTATAGAGCTGGAAACAGTGTCTCTAATGGGATCAACACAAGGGCTTCGAGAGAGTTCAGTGCAGCGTAGGTTGTGGGGAAGATGAGCAAGCTAGTAAGGAGATCTGAAGCTACAAAACGAGGGAATTAAAATCAACAGCCGCAGCATGCAAACTTCTTAAGAACCAAAAAGCATCCACATGCTTCAAGAACACAACAGAGCAGAAAGGTACAAAATAACAGGCTATTTTTAATCAGTGAGATTATATCAGTAGATCAGTATGTTTACATCATCTTTCAGCACACTGCAATTAGCAGGAAATGGCAATCAAGAACAAATTCTGAGCATCTTTGATGCCTATCAGGCTCTTTCTCCTTGATGAAAGAACTAACATGTAGAAAGCAGAAAACACAAACCATGAGTGTACAAACCCCAGAGCAAAACTAGGGAACAAGCGTGCTTCGGGGCTGGGAAAGTTGTCTCTGAGGAGTAAGCAGCAGCATTGGCGGGTGCCCCACTCTCGTTTTTTCTTTTTTCAAAGCAGCCCTTCACTAAATTCAGAATTACATATACTGGTCACCTGCAAAATCCCATCCCAAGCAGGATGCAAAGTCAGATGAGAGCAGCGAGCTAGGGATTTTTTTAATTGCATCTTCATTGGGTGCACGTTTGTAACCCACCCCGTCCTGCGCCCCACCGAGCTGCGGTGACACCGGTTCGGGGCTGCTGTCCGCCCTCTGCTGTCTGAACTGCAGAAATCGATACTATTCCTAGAGCTCTGCGTGAAAATAACCACTTTACACACAACTTCCAAACACGGACGTTTCAGGATTAGCTAGAAATTAAGAAAAAGAAAACAGAATTAGAAGACAGAGAGGGTCAGTGATTCTGCATTACTGGAAATCCTAGAACACCCAGAAGATACAGCTTTAAAAAAAAAAAAAAAAGGACAGTAATATATAAATGTAATCAAGAAAAGTTGCTGTTTCTTGCAACGATCCTGAAAACCATCTTGAAAGCAGTTTCCTAAGCAGTTACTCTGCCCCGTGGAAGCCCTTTCTGCTGAGAGCAGGAGCTACATCCGAGCAGGTCGCTCTCCCGCTTTTGAACTCCAAGCAGGTGCCTTCCTGCACTTTGCATCCACTTGGAAGAGTCTCCGGTTTACCTTGAAAAGCAGAGCCCAGGGCCGGGGTCAGTGTGTCCGCTCAGAGCTCAGCTCTGCCTCCAGGCCTCTGCTGGAAGTCTCCAGCGCGGAGGGCACAGAACCTCCTCCTTCCCGCCCGCCCGCCGAGGGACCTCCACAAGTGAGGATTTGCCATCTCCAAACCCACCGGCCACAGCCTGACCCTCGAAATCCCTGTTTGATATCTCTGATATCTCCCGTGAAATCTCCATTTGGTAATATTTGAGTGTCATTTCTGATATAAGCAGTATCAGTTCATTCTCATGCTCTCACACACTCCTGCTGCCATCCCGTTTGCACGGTGGCGGAGGGCACGGAGCGGATCAGAGAGGGCCGCCAGCGAGCACCGACAACGTGCGCTGGGTCAGTTCAATGCTTTTAGCAACAGGTGACAAGCACAGATTTACGTAAGGTAGCCCAAAACATCATAAAAATAAATCATTTTAAGTAGGAAGGAAAGGTAAAAGTAGAACAGGCAAAAAAAGTTGAAGACTCCCAATGAAGAGTTCATTCTCTGCTTGTTCCAGCGCAACTGTCACAGATTACGAAACTGCTGCTCATGTGGGCAAAGCTCTGCTCAGATTTATATGGTGCAGATGCAAATTGAGTCAGCTTGTTAGAAAAGGTGGAACAACATTCAGTGCTGCATAAATACAACTAGCACTTCTGACCAACTTGCTGTTATCTCCAAAACTGCAAAGGATTATACTATTCATTATTTGCATGTATATTTTATTCTGAAAAAAAAAGTGAAGTATGGAACTTATGCCAACAAATTATAGAAACCTATAAAAAAGTTTTAATCCCAGTTTCTTTTTGATATAATGCTCATATTTTTCAGCCTGTTTTGACCCACCCATCCCCACTTGGAGCAATAGTCTCCCTTTACTAGGCAGTGTCCTTGAATCCATAAAGGACACTGAAAGATTCACATTAACAATATGTGCTGCTGTCCTGGGAATAACGAAAGTGAATTTGTGTAATGCTGATTTACATTCTTCATTATCTTCTAAACCATCCATTAATTTGCATTAATGATGATCTTTCAATTTCCCATGAGTTCATAGGAAAAAGTAGCAACAGGAACGGTGCTAGAGCCCCTGCTCATCCACTGCTGTAACCGCACTGAATATTTTTTTTTTTTTTGGTTGAGTTGAAGCAGAAGGCATTTAACTACAACATAACTCCTCCATTTCTTCTTGGCATTCACTCAACATAAGGGAGCTGACAGCAAAGAGAACTAATCCAGGAGAAATCAAGAAAGGGATTCGTACTACTCATTCAGATTTTCTTCTGCAGCTTCCCCTTTAGCTCGTCATTAAGCAGGCAAGGTTACCTACGAAACCAGCCCCTTCCCACACGAGAGCAGACCAGCTCCCCAGGTAGGCAGGGTAACAGCTACAGGAAAACACGTGGGGAAATACCCTCCTGCCCTGAGCATAGGGCTCACACTGCTGCCGTGCAAGGGCTGAAACCTCTTCTGGAGAAACGAGGGAATGAAGACAGTGGGAAAACACTTGGGATCCTGCTTCTCTCACAATTAATAAGTAATTTTGGTAGATTTCGTAACAGTTGCTCCAAATATTAAGCTTCTTCAGTGAAGGTCTAGGGAGCAGATCACTCCTGTCACTCTAATGGTAAACTATAAGGCAACACCTATTTGAACACCTGACTTCAGTACAATGGCGCTAAAATATTCTCTATAAATTACTAACATCAATTGAAATCTACTCCATGGCATTACCATACATAGCCAATCAAGGCAGAAATCATTTCTCTCACATCTGGCAACATCATCCCTGAAATTCCCGAGATGTGTCACACAATGTCCGTGCAGCAGGTCCCATGGTGCCATCGCCCACACGCTGCACCCGCAGCCCCAAGGCCGGTTCTCCCTGTTCTTGCCTGGGGGCCCCCACGAAGGACCAAGCAGAGGGGGTGTTCAGAGCCCGGGACAGTAAAGGAAATTGTCCTCCTCTTTGCAATTGCTTGAGCAACTGTCTGATCACCTAGCTGACTGTTCAGATAACTAAATCTGAACTAATGGGGAAAAACAGAAAGCAGACCACTATGAAACTTCTTTAGAAAGGAACAAGCAGGACAACACGCGGAAAATCTCGACTTCCCTACGAGTTCTTAGCAGAACCAGTAAATTGGTATAAAAGCATCATTTTTGCAGCAAATAAAATTATATTCCAGTAGGTTGGTGGAAGGTTATTAGAAACAAAACTGACAAATCCTTGTCGCCTCTTCTGTGTGAAGTACATTGTTTCCAACTTGCACTATCAGTTTTTACAGGACACAATGACAAAACCATCAATATGACAGCAAGGCACACTAATGCAAACTTCAGGATGTGGACAGCATCAGCAAGACATTCTCTCAGTTACCAACAGATGCTTTTTTAATAAAACTTGCATATACAAATGTCCACAAAACGTCTTAACAGGATCAGTTGTGACAGCTAAAGATAACGGCTGCCATCATCCTATGTCATATCAAATTACTGCAAAGAGACATTGATTTTTTTTTCCCACATTGTTAACTCAAGAACATTGACTACAAACAAATATAATTATCTACAGAAGAACTCAAAATGCAAGATATTTTGCACCACTTCTGCTGAAGAGCAGTGGCCTTTGAGGACCAGATAGGAAAGTAATTTTGAACAGCTGGAAATTATAATTGCAGTGTAACAACATAAAGTCAAACACTGTTTCCTAGAGTCAGCCAAAAGCCAAACCACAGACTTACCTTAAGATACAGAAGCAGCTCTTGGTCCCAGAAGATAAGCGGCAGAATCCAAACCTCTGTTTGCTGTCAATGTCTGTAAGCACAAACGTAAAGTTCTGGCCAACTTGGCTAACTGCATGGCTGAAAATAAGGAGAATAGAAAGGAAAAGTTAATGCTGAGCTCACTCAGTGTCACACATATCTAATCTGACTGAGTCATTGAACCTGTAACATTTCCTCTTTCAGCAGAGGGTTTTGTTTTTGTTTTTGTTTTTTTAAGAAATTAACTTTGAGAATATACACCCTTGAAAACTTAAAATATACAAAGGGGTTGGAGGTGGGGGTTGGGTCTTATTTTTTAAGCATGAGAGGATATTAAAAAATACATTTATCTATAAACAAAACCTGCTATGAGATGCACTATTAGGTGCATCTCTGACTCAGTACACACCATATCAACCATACCCATGTTCTCACTCATATAATCCTAAGTATTTCTATATTTCTGTATCTGTTTACTTCAAGTGCAAGACCATGTTTAGTAGCATGTTTATTTTTAACAGACACAAAAATAGACACACTCAGAAACCAAATTCAGATCAGGATCAGAAAGATTCCACTGTGCAGCTTGGAAGCAGGAATCTGTGGTTGATCCCAAACAAGGAAGGGAACAAGCACTTCTCACTGCTTAGATCAAAGTCTCTTCTTCAGAATCCAGACTGATCATTTTGCCAGAGATCCTGGAGAGACGTCCTACATAGAGTATTATTGTCACAGAAGTTGTTATCCTATGATCTTAATTTATTTGGACCATCAGAAAGTATCTTCACTATTACATTAAGAATAATCATTTAAAAAACCTCTCAATATTACAGCGAGGTTCTAATATCACAGCTGTTAACAGTAAGGTACTGAACTCCTGCTCAGAGCGAGTCAAACGCAGTGTAACGAGAACCCACCCCGAGGACCAGGCACGACAGGAGCTGGCAATGGGAAGCAACGCGCCGCAGCGGGGCAGCGGGGCTGATACGATATTAGAAATCTGCAGTTGTGTATTTCTAAAGTAAATTATTTTCATCTCAGAGCAGAAAACAAGATTTTGCTGATAATACTGAGGGGAATGGTCTGAGCACATTTCATTATGAGGCCCTGAGATGCTTCCAATGACTATTTTAAATGTTATAAAAATGCACAAACAAGTAATCAATAGTGGAATGACAGTAAAGAGGCTCTTAAATGTAAAGCATTTAATGATTCATTATTCTGCCTTTTCTGTCTAAATCTTGGCAGTTAAGACATCACACATGTATGTAACCAAAATTTTTGATATTGCATCTTTAATGATTACTACTCAAGTTTTTCCACATCCAAATACTACACAAAAGTGAAACAAAATGCACTTTTATTGCTGCCTGTGAACAGTTCAAACTTAAAACTTTTTTTTTTGATAGTGCCCATAAAAACTCCAGGAAAAAGGGATACTGAGACTATATTTTGCACTTGAGTGCTTTAAATCACAGCCAAACAGACAGAACATTAGGAAAGGTATGGTTTTTATTTTCTATAGCAGTTTTATTGACAAGCTTATTTTCTTGTAAAATTTCAAAATCCAACACTACCTGTCCACATAGAAGGGGAAACAAAACTTGGTCAAAGTCTGTAGAACTTCCTGTGGAGAGAAAAGGAGATAATTTATACATCTAATGGGACCAATAAATCTAATATTAACCACAACGCACAATTTCACAACTTTGCCCTGAAGAAATACGAGACAGATGAAGAAATATGGGCTTTATCAATTACACGGAAGGAGTACGAGGCAGTCAATCATGTGAAATAATAAACATGATCAAACTTCATTAAAAATGAAAAATTAATCAAGATTCACACATGGGCAGGCAGCAGGAGCCATCCAGCAACCCTCGGAAGGGCAGGAGGAGGTTGGGCTGTTGAGTGTTAACACCTCTCCGGGGACGCGCGCTACCCCGGCCATATGGATCCCAGGGAACGGCGGAGCACATGGGCCGGGGGCAGCGCCGCGGCCGCCGTCTCCTAGGAACGGGGCCTGCGCGCCCGGGAACGCGCCGCGACCCGCGGAACAAAGGATGAAGCCAACAGGGCTCGGAGCGGGGACATGAAACATTGCCCACCACTACCAGAAATAAAATTGGAGGTGTTAATAGACTAATTAAAATAACGTGTATTAACATAAATACAAATCATTTCCTCTAGGAACCATGTTCTAGATGTTTCAAAGCACTACCTCAGAGAAACTTTTAAAAATAACCCTTGTATGGTTACAAGGTGTATGCGTGAAGACTGAGAACACGGTCAAGAGAAATGCTTACAATTCAAAAATCATTTCCGACTTAAAAGCTTTAAATAGATATTGTAATTAATGAGGCAAGACTAGAAAGATATGCAAGTCCCCAGAAGACAGGGCAATCTGTTCCAGTAGATTGTTCCATTATACCCAAAGTTTCGTTCTGCATTACAAAATCCACCATAACGGCTGCAAGGTTTGCAAATATTTACCACCAAATTATTGTCTATTCTCCCCTTCACACTCAAGTATCTCAGCACCTGAAATGTAAATAACACTTTGGCCTGGAACTGAAGCAAGATAACCATGACTAAATGATAAACCATCTGATAAATTATCAGCAATAACTAAACTGAGGCTTCTCGCTTCATTTATTTTTAAAACCAGTTCAATCATTCAACAAATAAACTACATCAATCTAATAACCGATTCAATGAAGCAGAAAACATATTGAGCCCCTCGCAGAACATGTTCCGCCTGCGGAATTGCAGGCGGCGCATCCCGCGCGGAGCCGAGCGCCCGCGCCCAGCGCCGCTCTGGAAATGCTCCTAGCAAGGAGACACAGACGAGACCACTTGGACTGCTCGCCAGTTCATTGGCAAACTATGTACACACCTTTCTTCAAAAAAAATAAAATAAAAATCTATTGAAGACTGCCGTGCACATCAGTGAAGTCTCCTTAGTCTCCTTCCTTGCAATGTCAGCAGGACACTTGCAAGAAGCTATGCAGGTTTCAGGGTAAACTCTGGAGAGTTTACTGGAGAGAATACTCTGCATTCTTTACAAACACATTATTTTGAAATGAAATAACAACCTGATTACAAGGGCATCGTTCATGGGAGCGGGGTCAGCCCGCGCGGAGGCGCCGTCGATTCCGCAAGGACCTGGCTGCACCGTTCAGGCCACAATCACACCCCAACTCCACACACACACACACCCACACACACCCACACACAATCTACAGCTGCGTGATTTTTGATTATTACACAGTTGTCCTCATATCTGAATAAACTGCAAAAATCCCCCAAAAATCAGCATTTTAGAGGAATCAAAATTGTAGCTGAAGGAGAGTGAAACATCTATATATTTATTTGCCTTATCAACAAAAATTCTCCTCAAAATAATGACTGCATATCTAAAGCTATTTTTAGAAAAATAGCTACAACAGTTTTGAAACAAAACACTGCAAACAGACAGTGGTGCTGCTAGAGAGCTCATAGGCACCTCAGGACGGCACAGGATGTTCTTCCCTCCCACCGTGCTGGGGCAGGAAGGTTTAACCCATCACTGCACCTGCAAGTACAGACACCCACACGTGGAACTCCCAGCATCTCCCAGCACCGCCCCACTGCAGGGTGAGAGCACACACAGCGCTGCGCCTGTTCTTCACGCACACACACACCTTCCCAAACAGGAAAGGGAATCCTCTCCTACACAGGCAACATACTTAATCTATACTGCATACACTGTCTTTGTCTCTTAAAATAAACCCTTTCAGTAACAGAATGATGCAAGCTTTATAATGTTACTGCACAGAATTTGCCACTCATTTTAGGCTACGAATTATCTGTTTGATTGAGACAAACAACTTGTACAGGTTAATCAAAAAGGCATTTTTTAAATTTTACCTATTAAAAATCACATACATAACCACAGTTTAATTAGCAAGGATACCAATACTTTATGTGTTATTGGAGAACTGTTCAATTTTTGCTCAAGTTACAAAATAGCTCCTGCCCATGTAAAGATACTTTTTTATCTTTTAATACTACTCCATTTGAAATATTAGCAATGTCTACATAAACCACCTTTTCCCCTACACGCTGGGTTAGTAGGATCACCATCTTTTTAGGATCCAAACAACACATACAGCAAAACAAAACCTCGACGTTTTAGGATCCGTCTCATTTTATCTGACATGGAAAATAGTATCAATAGTTTGTTTTCTTACTTTATTCCCTTATGCATATTTTCTTAAGGAAAAACTACCTAAATTGCTCTAAAATGAACTCCTCAAAAAGGAAAAAATAAACAGAAAAAGGGAAAAAATAAACAGATCCCAGGGCACCTCAGATAAAGCATAAATTACCCGGTAGCAGAAACCAGCGTCCCTAGGGTATCACATGCCAGTTTTCCAGATCAATCCCCAACTTTATATTTTCACAAATCTTTTTACATGCAGTTTGATTTTTAACATTTTAATGAGCAGAAAGTGCATCCCTAGCAGCCAGCGACTGCAGTTAAAGTGCAGGGCATGAACCGTGTCCCCGGGGGGCCGCGCGGAGCCGTGTCACCGCCGGCTTTAGGACACACGCCACCTGGCTCCACGTCCCAGGGTTCCAGCTCTTTTCATAATCAAAACACTGCTGACATTATAAACCCCACGCGGGCCTGCTAAAACCCTTCCCAATCAATAAGGCCAGTACATAACTTATCGGAGACAACACAGAGCTCATTGATTACGTTTGGTTTCAGTAGCAAAGTTTTCAAAATAAATGAGCCGGGAGCGGAGACGCGGAGCCCCGCGCGCTCCTGCTGCTCGGTCCCTTCGGCTCGCGCCCTGCACGGCCGTGTCCCACGCGCGGCCGCCAGGGACGGCTGCTTGCACAGCCCTGCACGTTCCCGGGGCCAGGCGTCCCCTCGGTCGAGCCTCAAAACACAAACCCAGAGCCCCCCACCGTGCGGCCGGTGCCACGTCCGGGGACCTTGAGCCCCTGCCGAGTCCACAGGACGGCCTCAAAGGAACACCAGGAACACACACCACGGGCTACAGCTGAACAGAACCTGCAGGAACTTGCAGCATCTAGTGCGAGAAGAGCAGCCTGGTCCAACGTTCATCTGCTCTTAGATTCAAAGTGACACCAGAGAAGTTGGAGTAGAAGTTGGAGTAAAACAAAATTAGAAGAGGCAGAGAAAGATTTGTGAAAGACTATGAATGATTCAGGCCAGACACTCAAATATTCATCTAAGTCAGAGAAGAGAAACCATATTCCACACAAAAGACAACAGGTTGGGATCCATATTTGGAAGCCTATTAGGAAACCTGAGGTAAAACAGGACAAAGTTGAAAACACTATCCAGAATACAGACAGGATCTATAGCTATGGGAATGCAATGGAAAAGAAAAAAACCTGTGTTTCAGAAAGTCCATCCAACGTTTTTACAAGAAAATGATTCACATCCAACAAGAGAGCGGAGCACTGCAAACCAGAAAGGTTTTCCATGGAGAGCTGCTCAGTGATGAAGAACCTGAAGCCAGTTTCATTTCCTTGACCTTAAACGCGAGGTGAAGTATTGGGGAGCTCGGGAAAGCTCGCTTTGAAGATCTGAACCTTAGTTTTGCACTTTATTATCAGCTCTAACTTACTACATTCTACCATATTTTGCTTATTATTGTGACATTAAGCACATGAATTAACAAATGCCATGCAATTATATAAAAAAAATTGGGATAAGTGTTGTAATACAAACAGCTCATAAAATGCCTTTCAAAATAAAGAAGAAAGCAGCCTGATGGAAATACCAGTATCATAAACCACAGCAAAAATTGTAGAGTTTAAAAGATGTATGAGCGGAGAAAGCAAACAGCAATAAACTTGAAAATGAGACTTCTCCAGGTCTGTTTTCATCTTAAAAGAAAACTGCTTGAACACAAGACTTCTTTCAACATATCACTGCGCATTTAAAATATTGTCAAACTTAATTTTAATTGAAGCTATTAAAAAACCTTTCTATAAGCTTATAAGTTGATAGTAACTTATTTTTACTTCTTATAGCAGTGCTAAATATTACTGACCTTTATAATGGTCAAAGTATTTTAAGAATTTTAATCAATTCTATAAAAAGCTCTTTCACACTCCAAAAGAGGAGTATAATGTGTTTGGCAGCATTAATTAAAGTTACCTTAATTTACTTTTATGGCCACTTATGTTTTTTCTAGTCTTAGCAGTGCTCGAGTACAGCCCTATGGTTGCTCATCCATTTGCCTGGTGCTCCCGACCCGCAGGGGCGGCTCCTCCGCCGCCGCGCGGGCTCCTCGCCATGGAACGAGAGCAGCAGTTCTCTGAAGGCGACCAACTGTCCTCGGGAAAACACCATTTCAACCCCACACCAAACAAAACCGCACGCACACGCACACCGTTTTTGGAAATGGGAATATCACGCAAAAAAACAATATTTCTTAAGCACACTGAGACCTGGTATTCTTTAAATATTTTAAGCATACAAAACGTGTGCACAGATGGGCAACTTTTCCTCTTGCATTACTAAAAACATATTTCATTATAAAGCTCAAAATCCCTGCATTTTTTAAACCTAATTGTGACTCTGTTTCTTAGAATTCACAC